AAATAAAAAAATATCTGATATTGTGAAAATAAATTACTCTTTTAATATTATTTAAATTGCTTGGAAGTTTGAAACGTCCAACTCGTAAATATATTTCTTCTGTAAAAAATGTGTTCTTTGAGTTTGAAAACGATGCCAGACAACTATTTATTTCGTCTTCTTTTTCTAATACATTGTAATTCAATATCATAACAGCACATTATAATTTACTCAACAATCTTAAGCAAGTATCTCGGTTGCATAAATAATCACCAAAAACATAATGAATCAATAATGAGCTAATTAAACATGATATAGGTATAGTGGTCCACGATTGGTCCATTATATTTTGGCTAACCATTAAATTAATACATGCCATTATATGGAACGCTCAGCATTAAAATATTAACTGTCGTTTATGTCTTGTCATATTTTGGGTATTTTTTACCGTTTATACATTTTTATGTAATCACTAATACATACATGAATTATGAATATTTCTCCCGATTGGCTGACAGGAGTTCTTTAAAAAAAACATTTTATATATATATATATTATTCTATCTGTTGAAAGTCGATTTGAATACAATGTTGATGGTTTTTATGAGCATTTTAATTTATGCTGAATAGTGCAAGCAACGTACAATTTGCAGTGTCGAATTCGTACCTATACCTATACGAACGTCTGTTGTTTAAATTCATGGTCAATAATTACCTACTACAGACTACGTTTTTGTAACGGTTACGTCATAATATAATATATTTCTTTTGCGAGTACCTACGACAGCATATTAATGTGTAATAATAATATATAATATAGTTTCGTCCGTAAATCACGACCGTGATTATTGCAATGTGAACCATTTTTACGTCTTTAGGAGCTCAAAAAATTTACTTTGGTGGGACGAGTGCTTATCGTTTTTGATATTTAACAACTAATACGAAAATTATTGACGATGACCCTACCCGAAGAACGCCCCGCCAAGGTTCGATATCATTATCTTATGTAGGCGGGTACAAAAGTATTATAATATGCAGTGCGGCGTATTGTAAATAATAATTATAATAAATAATAATCTTATACAGCGAATGTCGACGATGACGTAGTAGGTATATATGCGCATAAACCACAACGGTCCGTCTCCTACTATAACAAACTCCTTCCACCAGGACGCAGGCACATGGTCCACGTCCTATTCGGTATGGTAATAATAATAAACAACTGCCGCAGCGTGGTTAGTAACCACTGGTTACACTATAAACATAATAATAATATATATTTTGTTATATTATAGTTTTATCGCCCCAGTGGCGCAACTAGAGTCCAAATCTTGGGGGTGCTACAAAAGGTAAACCGTTATATAGCCGTGGGGGGCTCTGCCCCCCACACCCCCCATTACACCTTTAAAATATTTTATTTTGACTATTATTATTAGGTATATTCAAATACTAAAAAATTTAAAATTTTTAACACATTTTATTTTTATTTATTGTATTTTATGTTTTTAAAGTATTAAAGTGTTAAACATAATCTTCTGTCAATCTTAGCAAATGTGTTTAGTATTTCTTCGGGAACAATTTTGTTTGCAAGATCTCTCTCAATATTAATTACGCTTAAGTTGGTAAAACGCTGTTGTACCATGCTGGTTCTCATCCAATTTTTTAACCGCCTCATGAAGGAAAAACTTCGCTCACATGTTGCAGAACTGACCGGGATCGTTAATGCAACCTGCATTAACTTATACAAGTTAGGAAATACTTCTTGATTTACTATTTTTTTTATGCCATCTGTACTGTTTTTTAAGCAGTTTTTTCCTACAAGCATTTCTGCTTTCAAGCATTCCGTGTTTGAATTTATTATATCCTGAAATTATAGAATATTATAGAATTTTTCTATTGGTATTGTTAGGTACTAAATAACTTATTTAATATGCACCTTATAATGCTGGATAAAATATTGACTTTTTTCAAAATCCATGGCCATAAAACTGTCAATAGCTTTAGCCATCTGAAGATTTTCAGTTGAAAATCTAAACTTTAGATTATTGATAATTGTATCAATAATTGGATAATAAACTGTACGCCTCCAATAAGCTTCTGACACATCTTGATCTTGTTCATCAAAATTAGCACTAGTAGTGGTTTCCAAATGGAAATTTATCAAATTAGTCGGCTGAGTTCTTTTCCGTTTTGTTACTTAAATTTTTTTTTTTTAATAATTAGCTTTAAATAAATTTTTATAGTAACTACAACAAAGAATCAAACTTACCAGGATGAGAGACTTCTATAGATATGTTATTTGTTTCACAAAATTGTATAATTTTTAACCATAATTCTGAGAATGACTTTAAATAAAATTACATTGTTAAAACTTAAAACTATAGATATTTTAAATTATAAAGACATTAGTCTTGGGGGTGCTTAAAATAGAGTTGGGGGTGCTTAAGCACCCCCTAGCACCCCCGTAGTTGCGCCACTGTATCGCCCAAAGCGAGCACAGTACACAGTTTGTTGGCACGCTGTCGTTCAGACGGTCAGCTGTTTGTGTGGCGCCGTTCAGAAAAATCGAACTTTCACCGAGAGAGCACTATACTAAACACATAGCCACATAGGTACCTACGGTATAACTGCAGTGTTTGGTGTTTTTTTGTTTACTGTCGTTTGTTTCTTCTCTACGTACGCAGTAATATTATTGTTTACACGTTATAATACGTTTTCAACGACTGCAGTTTGCGTTCCACATTGAACATCATGAACTCGGTTAAAAGCGCCGACAACGTTTTTGCGTTATGCGTTTCGCTTCTGATCTCTTTGGTATTGACGTGTCCTGCTGCAGTTTTCGCAGTGTACCACAATAATAATTACCCAGTTGTACGCCACGGACACGCGGCAAATAAATCCGATTCGAACACTTTGAGACTGGTCCACGCGGTACGTATACGCCAATATTACAACAACAACAACAACAACAACAATAATAATAATATTTCTACGCAACTATACCTAATAATAATATATTATTGTCCCAGCGATGTGCGTCTGTAGCTGTTTGCAAAATATTATTAATATGTGAAAACTCATTTTGAAATCGTTTACAGGTGTTTAGGCACGGACAACGGACGCCGGCCGACACGTACCCCCTGGACCCGTACACAAATTCGTCGTGGGAGCCATTCGGGTGGGGCCAACTGACCAATGCAAGTAAATATTATTATTATTTATGAAAAGTATTTTAGAGCATTTAGAATGCCAATTGTGTTGTTACGATTAGCGTAAACATCTGGTACACCCGACTGACGCAGTTTGTGCAGAATATTATATATTATTACGTGATTGATGAGCCAAAAACGACCGATTTCAGTTGATTTTTTTGGGTTTTGAGTTCTGTGTGATATCATAATATTAAGCTCTGGTAAACTTTGGTCACAATTTATAATTTTAGATACAATTTTAGCTATCACGTACCAATCTTATCAGATCACTTGTTGTTCACTAATATGGTAATACCATTAGGTATATTGGGACCAAATTATTTCAAATACCTTTATTGATTTAGTCATATCATTGATTATAACTACTAGTATATTTTATAATCAATTGTCAAATATTCCCAAATGATCTAACACGATTTATAAATATTGAATAATAATAACAATAGTTATATAACTTTACTAATTATATTTGTATAGTGCATATCGCCTTAACAAATATAGACTGCTATTAGACTATATTTTACATCATTTATTTATTTATTTAATGTTTACAAATGTTTGTTTTTACAACCATTGGATATCATGTTATCATATTATTAAATTATTTTTAAAACATTTTACTAGGTATTAGGTAGTTATCCAAATAAAACAATAGATAGGTACGTATGTTTAATTGGACGACCAGCGTAAATAAAATATAAGTTTATAGATGAATGATATGAATAATGAATAATTGATTTATAAAAAAGGACAACAAAATATTAGATTATTTATGATACCTATATAGTTAAGTACCTAAACATTATTTAAAGGTGGGTTTACACTACACCGTGTCGTGTAAAATAATCACGGTTACCACAGTTACCAAACGATACTGCATAGTTGAGTATATTCAACACGTTAATTTTTTTTTTATATTGTTACATTACTGTTCGTACCTCATAGCCCAATACAGAATAATATATAATAAAATATACGCACGTACCTATTATATTAAGTATATAACTATACTTATTATATAACTTTACTTATATATAATTGATGTACCCTCATTAATTGTAAGGATCATTTCAATTGTTGGTTGATTCCTTGCATAATTGGAATTGCATTTAGGTATGAACAATGGATATTATGTGCAATAGACATGGAAGGATGGGACTTGAAAGTTTATTTGAGACGATAGTATCAGAGTGTCAATAATGCCACCAATTAGACGACGCACGAGAAAGGTTAAATAATTAGCCTTCCATCAACTAAAATAATTAAACCAAACCGGTTTATAACTTTAGAATAATCAGCACTTACTTATTTATTTTAAATGCTATAAATAATCTTCTTGAAAAACAAAAACAATATACATCCAACACTCTTTAACCAAATTGGAGCGAAAATTCAACTCACGATCAAACTTAATAGGAAGTAGGAACCCAAATTTCAAATCAATAGTAGTAATAACGTCATAACTCGCTGGTGACTAATTTTAGTCCGTTCTCAAAAATAAATAACGACATTTGACAACAAATTACATTTTAAAATTTTTAATTACCTATTGAGTGACACTGTAACTATTAAATAATATGGAGTTTATTTTAATTGTATAAACAACTTTTTCTACGTTATGAACTACAATTTTTTATTTTAAGATTCAGAAACTCGTTTATAAAGCAGTTCGCTAATAGGCTATGAATTAATGCACAGTGGTTTTAGAGATAATAAACATATTTCATATAACATGAAAACATGGAAGGAAAACTCAATTTTTTTAATTTCAACCGTTAAAACTGCAGTTATTATAATATAACATTACTTTTGAGTTTGAACCTTTTTTTTAGTTTAATAGGTAGTGTTAATAATTGGGTTTTTAAAGTCAAACCACAAACACAGGACGTAAATACTGTTATTATTTTTGATCAAAGTATATAAGTACCAAACGAAAAAATGTGAATTCAATGTGTAAATCGTTGGATTTTAATAAAAACTGTTGCAGTGTTAACAATATACAATGTCTAATGTGTATGTACCTCTATTTGCTGTCGCGTGTGTGAGAGAAAAAATACCAAATGACGGTTTGACATCCATATTAAAAGTTTAATACCGAAACAAAACCACTCGAGGTACCTACTGAAATATTGTTGGTTTTGTTTAAATTATCTAATTGAACAATATAATATATATGCATATATTATTATAATAATAAAAATTAAATATTTTTTTTTTGCTAATTTGTAGAATGGTAAACGAAAACAATACGAGCTCGGAAAATTTATCAGAAAGCGTTATTCTGGATTCTTGGATGTTCTGTACTCTTCGAAAAAGGTCACGTTTAGAAGTACTGACGTGGACAGAACCATAATGAGCGCTCAGTTAGTCGCGTCTGCCATGTACAAGCCAGTTGGTGTACAGCAATGGAATAGACATTTAGAGTGGCAACCCGTTCCGATACATTCAGAACCTCTGAAAGACGACCGAGTAATATTTTAATGTTAAATGTGTTTAATTAATCTCCGAATTTCTACTGTCGGCAGTATACAAATGTGTGTGCTGCAGTTGTTGTTAGTGCGAATAGACTGTCCCAGGTACCACGAAGAAAGGCAAAAAATAATGAATTCCTCCGAAGTCCTCGAAGAGCTCAACTCTTATAGTGATCTTTATAGTTATCTGTCCAACCACACTGGACTGACCATTCAAGATCCCGACGATGTACAGTCGATTTATAGTACATTAAAAGCTGAGGTATGTACTCAGTATAGTCACTTTTTGAATTTGTGCATCACACAAACCCACATGCAACACATTTTGGGTTATTGTGCTTAAGGCTTTTAAACCATAAAAAGGTGATTTATTTTTCCATTCAAGTCGGACTACGGAGTTGCCCTTCCAAGTTGGACGACCAAAGTATATCCAACGAAATTGGCCAAAGTGACATCTAGAAGTTTCATACTAAATGCGTACAATGATGAAATGAAAAAGCTCAAAGGAGGTATATGCATAACTGTAGATACAATACCTACGTAAAAATAATATGTTTAATGCTTTTTTTTAAGGTCCGTTATTAAAACAAATACTGGAAAATAGTAAAAATAAAATGAACAAACAGTCCACACATCAGTTGTATGCCTACGCCGGTCACGATTCAACTGTATCCAATCTTTTGATTGCCTTAGATGTATGGGACGAGCAGATTCCCACGTATAATATGTTGGCATTACTAGAGCTACACGAATCGAAGAAAGGCAATTTCTACTTAAAGGTATTCAATGAAATGAATTACATTTTTCAATTTATGTATCGGTATTTAACAGAGCACTGCAGTTTTATGTACCTTCATTATAATTTTTTTTTTATAATTTTCTAGGTGTTTTTGCGCAACGAATCATCGACAGAACCTTATCTCTTACAAATACCTAATTGTAAAGAAGATTCGTGTACTCTGGAACACATTTCGAATTTGACTGCAAACGTGATACCGTTGAATTTGAATGAAGAATGCAAGACTGATAATCCCGAATTTTCTAATTTAACATTTATTGACAAAGGCCCATAAAATCTTCTTTAGAATGGATTAATGGATAAAATTGTACACTTTTATACAGTTATATTTTTATCATTGGATGTATTTGATTGATATCACAGGCTATACGATTAATGTGTGATTACTTTTTTTATTTATTTAATTTACACAAATATTTAATTTATTTTTATTTTTCAAGAAAGGCAATAAACATATTTTTATTTGGGCCTTCTATTTTTCCGTTCAACAATTTTATTTAAAATCTCAATTTCATAATTTTATATCAAAAAAAAAAAAAAATTTAATTTGGGAGTTATTTTTTATTGCCAATTGTTTAAACAACAAAAAAATATGCTAAAACTCTAAAATAAGAGTAATATATTTATAAGATATTTTATATAGAGTATTATCTTTTTTAAAAATCAATGTTGATTGCATAAATTTACAAAGTCTTCACTCTTCAGTATTATAATATACGATGTACGATAATAGTGGTTTTTTTTCCATTAATTAACCCGAGGCCCTTTTTACCTGAATCGATATATGCTTATAACTTATACCTAAAAATAATTGTTTATTTGAAACACAAGTATAACACTATATGTGATATGTCTATATAGGATAATTTATTACCAATAAGTGAGAAAGTTCAAGAAACTAAAGCTTTAATTTTTTTTTTCATTAATTAACCCGCAACAACTTAGACCATTGAGTGGTTTTTAACTGAGGGGGAGGGTACTGTAGGTTTAAACACGTATGTTTGTAAGTTTGGCAGATTTTTTAGTGGATAACCGTAGGTATCTGCCATGACCGGGTGGGGGATGGCGGCATTTCTCTCCGGACACCGTGACTTTCCCTGACTACGATTGAATATCTACTATTACAACATAATAATATTATAATTACATTAGGCTAGTACATTATTTAGATATATCGGGGAAAACACTACTTTTTATATGGCTTGTTAATATATTTTAATCTACTTGATTGTCGACTATATTCACAGTGATATTTTTAAAAATATAATTGGATAGTTTTATTTAATTATTAAATAAAACTATCCAATTATTTTATTCTATCTATCCACTTAACCACATCCCAAAATATGTATAGGTGGGCTTTAACACAGACAAAAATTAGTATAAAATACCTATTCCCTATAATATTCCATTATTCCTAATATGCATCAAGTATAACAATAGTAACGAGTTCTTACCTTGCGTGTGATTAGCATGTGATGTCCAAATTGAGAGCTCGATGATCAGTGGTTTTCTCCATGAAAGCTCCAGATCAGTTCCATAAGAATTATTATGAGTAGGTACGCGAATGACTAAGCTAACTTGTCGTATATTATATTAAACCGTCGAGTATAATGAAACACGCATAGTTAATTCTTTCAATACACATACTATTTAGTATTTACCCTCCTATTAATTTCATATAACATTAAAATAATATCGATCTCTGTTTTTTTTTAATGTGTATTTAAATTTTTTATTTTTTTGTGTTATGCTAAAGCAATAAAGCGTTATTTGTAACATTTTTTGTTTTTATATCCCGATGACTTGATATGAGTGAAATTACTTAATGACTTGAGTTTAATGACTAAAATTTGGTGTTAAGTATAGTATGATGAACGGCCTTGTCTATTTTTTGGTTACCTCCCGTAGTACGAAAATGACTGTCAATTCACTTGTAAGTTACTAATTTTTATTGTTATAGTTGTGGCGTTACGGAAATATATCCGTTGAACTTTAAATTTGTATGACTTGCACTAACTGATTCACTGAGTTTATTATGAAACAGTTCATCTCAAACCTCATTATTGAAAATTGCTTGTTCGAATGATTTTAATTTAGCTATGGCTTCTGATGTATATATAATATATATATATATGATCAGCTGGTAGATAGTTTTTAATTACATTTTAGTTTCTAGAAAATAATTGGTGCTTTCGGAGCACTTCTCTGTCATAAGTAATTGTATTCGATACATCTAAAATTATATTGTTAATTCTTGTGTGTATAATGGATATGAAGACAAAAATAGTCAAAATGTTTGTATTCATTCATATGAATAAATTGACTGGCCACATGTGCACCTCAATTCAATAATTAATATAGTTTGATAAGAGAAATATGCATAAATAATTATTATTTTTAATATAAAAATACATTTTTTTTTATCGCGGGTATATTTATTTATTTACATTTTTTGTACAAAAAAAACTAGCCTAATTGAATCAAATCTAGTTTACATACATTAAAAACAGTAAAATTTAATTTTACAAAACTATGAATAGGTGACTCTTTATTCAATATGGCTTAAATAAACCAAGGTAAATATTCATATTAGGTATTGAGAAATATTTAACGAGTTATTATAGTGTTTAAACATTAAACCAAAATTAATCGTTTTATATTAAACGTGAAGAATATTACAGTATTAGATTAAAATATTATATTAATAAAAATAAATATTTCAAAGGTAACACAAAAAAGTATGACTACTAAAGCATTAAAATAACAGTAATTACATGAATAATAAATAATAATAAACATTATAGAAGTAGGTATTTAAAAAAAATATACGTTGAACACAACATAATATTCATTGATTGTATAAAAATATGTAGGTATAATTATATTATTATATGTATGCACTAAAATTTAGTGATATATATTTATATATAATAATAAATATTTATTATTTTTAGTGACTAAATTAAATATTTAGATTTTTTTCTCGTAATTTATTTTAACCATATATCTGATAAACACATATTTTATAAAACAAATAATAACAACATAATATTACAAACTTGACTAGGGTGGTTTAGTAACATATAAATTTAATTTAAATTTTAAAACTAGACCATTCAAGCATAAACACCAACGGTGTAGAGATCGCGATCTCCTATCTGAACAAACATAAATGTAAAGTAGGTTAGGCTGTAGCGTGGTTGAGTGTCTTCTAATTCGACTCAAATTAACCTTTTTTTAATGTGTTTATTAATAATTGCAGTGCATTTAATTTGTATTTAAATAATGATAACAGACATTCTATTTGAAAAATTCAGATATTTCTTGTAATGTTTTGTTTTCAGTTTCTGGTAAGTAAAAATAGAAATATACAGTTCCAAATAAACCCGAAATACCAAATAATGTAAATGTATTGTAAAAGTTCACAAAGTTGGACAGCTCAAGATAATATTTGATCATGAAGAAAGATATTAAGTAACCCATTGCCCCTCCAGCGCTGCAGGTAATGTTTCTACTTCTGAAATTTATTAAAAACCATTCAAGGGTTTGAATTAAAATCAAATAAAGATTTTTTTATTTTTGTTTTTATGCTCACTTCATTGGGAATATCTCGGTAAGAAGTACCCATGCTATAGGCATTATCCCAAGCGATGACATGAAAGTGGTAGTTAGAAAGAGTATTAACACCAGCCAAGAAGTTATAGGTTTTGAGTTCGTCCAATACACACCGATTAATCCAATTAATATATAACAAATTGAGCAAATTAATAACGTCGATAACGTAAGGAATCGTTTGCCGAGTTTGCTGATCAAAAATATCGTCATTATTCCTCCAATCGTTGATAAAAATACCGAAAACGCCTATAATATTGTAAACAATTAAAAAGCCATATCGTTAAAAATAATACATAATCGTCATATGTTGTTAAAATGTTATGTTAGACGACACACTCAAAGACATTACTTACTAATGTAAACTCGACGTTAACGGGTGCACCGAATTCAGTAAACACTGACACTAGATAAGGTCCGTACTGTATTCCAGACAATAAATTCGCAAAAAAAATGTACACCAACAACAGACGGAACGGTCTGTACACTTCAGGCCGAAGGAGTTGTCCCCAAGAACTCGTTGCTCCTTTCTCGTCTAGAAAAAAATAATATAAATAATAAATATTAAAATTTATGTTATACGAATGACGTTAAACACTTAAACGTAAAATAAGGTTATTACTAAAATATATAATATTATGTAGATAATAATATTATTGATATAAACCAGATACTAACGTTATTCATAAAAATACTTAGTTAATTATACTGGATCATACTGGTTTTCACATTATAGGTATATAATAACTAAGTACCTACCTGTCTCGGTGTCGTCATCTTCGCGGTGTACCATAGTTGTAGACGTATAAGCTATCATTTCTCTGAACTCTTTGCTTGAAAATGTTTCGTGCGACGGCCATCCTCTCAATTTACCAAGCGTTTTCTGAGCCTTTAAGGGTTCGCCTTTGGTCAACAACCACATTGGAGATTGCGGCGTCTAAACAGTATACGTTTAGTCGAAATTATAATCAAGACTTGGTGAAAAATAATTATTTTTCTCAAAGGAACAACATTCATTTGATTTTTTTGTCTTGATATATAGGTAGGTATAATACACATAATTAATACCTAAGTACCTATTTAAGAAGCAAATTTTTTGAACTTTTTAAAAATTTAACGTTAACTGGTGGTCGAAATGATTCTTTTTTTGGTACCGAAAGGTAGGTACCTATTTAGGGTATATCAAAGACAATAATATTGACGAGGCGTAGTGTTATTACATATTTATCTAACCATAAACAGTATGGCGATGGTCACGATCGGGATCGACATGCCGATGAGCACGGTCAGCCTCCATTCCAATGTGATAGCGTATACCAATGTGAACAGCAGCGAACCAACGAAGTAGAAGACGTTCGTCGCCGACATTAGTGCGCCCCTAAGCTTGGGCTCGCACACCTCCCCAATGTAGGCTGAAGACGGACCTCCCGAGTATCCGACGCTAATACCCATCAGCATCGAGCACGCATACAATGTCCCGACACTGTTGGCGTAAAAGAACATGATCTGCGACACTATGAACGGCACGTTGGTTATTATCATGCACGTTTTGTGACCGAAGTGGCCTAGCGTTAACGAAGACAGTGCGCTGCCCAGAGGCGTGAACAAGAACAGAAGACTACCTGAAAAGTTATTGAGTATAAGACTTAGGTAGTTAAGTAGGTACTGCGTGTTTGGAAAACGCGAGTTGGAATCAGTTGTCGGATATTGGCATTGCAGGTGACTAGGGGATGTTTTTCTTTTAAAAATACACTATTATTTCATATTAATACATATTATAATTAACCCATATCATATGAACCAAGATTATTTTTTAATCATTAGAAATTAAATATATCTACAACATACCTATATTACCAATAAGTATCTACCAATATAGGTACACATTACATACCTATTGGACATAGAATTTATTTGTTTATATTTAATTATTTCTATACCATCAAATACCAATACTATCGAAGTTACCAATATGTACTGATTGCTATATAATATTGATTTAAGACGTTTAATACAGTTTAGACATGTTTATTCGTTTTGGCTGAATAGAACATGACCTATACAATTCATTTACATTGTCAACAATTGAAATTTGTGTACGGAAGATGGTAGGTAATTGGTTATTAGGTACTCTATGAGGGCTAGCTATTATATAGGTAGTATAGGTATGTCGATTGGCAACAATTATAACAATATATGACGTATGGTTTAGCTTTTATTTTCTAGTACCTGCATAGTTTTTCATTACATAAAATATTATCATATTATTACATAGAATATAATTAATGTATTATATGTGTTCCAAACACTACACTTTATAATAAATTAATTTTTTTACGATAAACCTGCTAAAACAATAAACGGAGCACGTTTCACCTATTTCACCGACCTATTTAAGTTGGACTGTACAAACATATTAGATATTAGATATTACATTTGAATATATGGAAATACAATCAACGAAGTGAGGCGATAATCTACAATAATAACCAATACTTCAAATTTATATATAGCATGTTATTAGGTGACTTATTTTTACAGAGATTTAACTTGTGTCTTACAAATTCATCTAGGTACCTGGTACACTCACATGATAATATTCTATAAATACAATATACTTTTAAATAACAATCAAGGACGATCGTAGAAGCGCATAAATAACTTAATAACCCAACAAAAAAATTGTGAACTTGTGAATAATATAGGTGTCGTGATGTGCATCTTTCCTTCATCGTATTCCTCGGAAAAGGATCTAGGACTATTGATTAAAACGCCGCATGCTGACATTTTTTTCTCATAAAACGTTCTTATATAATATAATTCAAATAATAATACATTGTTTTAGCGCAAAAATAAATCGATGTCTTTTTTATCTATGGCTTTTTAATCTGTGGCTTTTTTGTCCCATGGATTTTTATCCTGTAACTTTTTTTATCCATGGCTTTTTTTCCCGGTTACCGTCCATATGGTTTACGTTAATGACGAGTTTCCACTACACCATGTCGAATATATTATATTAAAATTGTAGTTAACGTGTTACCTACGTAATATCAAAAACGACACGACACGGTGTAGAGCAAACTTGTCTTTTCATGCATGTGGATAAGTGTTTGCAGTACCAATGAGAACCGTTCCGGTTAAACAAGAATATAGTGGTCACCGATATTTTCGCCCGCGACACCCATCGTCTATTTTCGAGTCACTACTGCGTTCAGTTTTGTTAACACTCCACAGAAACGAGTCCTTGTAGAGGCATACAATATGCGAGCATCATCACTTCCGATTCGGTGAAATGCGTCCTCCATCTGTTTCCGAGGATTACTGGCCGAGGACTGCGCGTCAAGGTAAGACTCACATCAATTGATCAATCACCTATATTTATAATATTAAATTCACAGTTCACACTTCACTGGTTTATCGTACCATCTAAGACGCCTGTACGACCGTTATTATGAATTAATCATAGTCGAAAACAATAATTATGTAACCGGCATATTATGTAAAACTGCCAAGTCCAAATAATTTCGTATAGAAATACGTCGTCTTACCGAACCAAGACGCTTGTTCGTCTGTCAATGGCGGCAGTCCGTTTTTGCTCTTATCGCCCTTATCTAAAGCTCCAATTATTATTGTTGAACACGTGATCGCTATACCGATCCCGGTCTGTATGAAACAAGGTCCAGCCAATGCCAAGCTCTGCAATGCAAAACAAAGCCGCGTTTAATGTTGGAATACAATTTGTATGAGTTAGGTACATCTGTATAATAATAATTATAAGTATTTATATTTACTATACATAAAATAATATTTTAATATTAACACGTTGTATTTTTTTTTCCGTGTCAACTAAAAAATGAATGTGTTATTTACTAGCAAATTGTTATCGAGGTCCACAAGCAAGTGCATTCGTTTTAAATAATAATATGGCTTTTTCTAATGCGGCATGAATTAAGTGCTAAGTGTAGTATATACTAGGTAATCGCGGTATACATTTTTTTTTTGTGACCACTAAATTGTTATGCGATTAATAAATTATTATTACATTTTGTGTGATATTATTGCAAGTTTAGGTCGCGGCCAATGAACCGCATGATTTCGCCCTGGAAAACAGCATGACGTGAGCAAACTTAATAATATGTAATCGTATACATTTTTAATTAGAAGGTTTTATCTTAATATATAACTTACATAAAATAACTGTATGTATGACACAAGTTTTCTTTCAGCCTATATATTTAAAAAAACATATTGTCATTTGTAAAAAATTGATCCTTGTGTACCGTTCAGATACTTTTTAAATTATTATTGCAACCCACTATATTATGGATAAACGTATGCAGATTTTAAATTAATTTTTTTCTGATACTTGCTAATACATTAAATGTACACCTATCGTTTGTATACCTATGATACAAATTACAAAGTCGAAAGTAGTTACGATAATCCAACTTAAATCGGCGATTCAATATGAATCAGAATAAAGCTCGTACCATAGGTAAGGTTAGTCAACATAATTTTAAAAGCAAAAATTATAGGCTTACAGATTAATATTGAAATTAATGATACAAATATATGATATACAAGTGGTATGTTAATCCTATTGGACATGTATTGTAAGCAAATAAGTTATGTAAGATATGAATAAAGAGTTATAATTTATAATTATTTGAATGTTAAGCACCTTTCACAATATAAAAGATTTCTGTAAGACTATAAAAACTGTATGAATATGAATACAATATACTATTATAAAATTATTTGCATCGTAGTTAATACTTAGTTATCTTATACAAATATTTGAATAATAACTAACTTGAGCAAAAATAGATTTAAAGCTGTATCTATAGTTAATATTCGACTCCATTTCTTTTCTCAGATCGGTTGTATTTTGCAGAGTTTTCTGTAAATTAAAAAAAGTCTTTTGTTAAATTTGTTCATATCTGCCAATTTAAAGTTATAAATTTATAATATATCAATTGTTGTATTAATATAGCTGATTTAAAACTTAAAAACTATTATCATACAAGTGAAAATAAATATTAAAGAGGTGGGCAAGTGGTATACACAAGTAGATATAGTAATTTGAATCAATATTGCTGAAAACACTGATTTTTAAAATGTCATTGTGTGTATAAAATAAAAATATATACCTATACTTTAAAAGTATTAAGTACGCACGAATAATTTTTGTAAATCGCAACAGTATAACTAAGATTGTTAGTCGTCGTATAAAATATATCTAATTTTGTCCAAATTTGAACTTAAAATATCTCTAAAAAGTTGTGATAATATATTTTTAGATTTTTTGGGTACAATATGAACTACGTATGAGAAAACTTGTTTAAATTTTCAATCCTTAGCTATTAAAATTAAAAATTTATAATATTTAACTACAAAATAATTTTCAAATTTTCATGACTTTGATGAATTTTATCAAAATTTGAACTTAAGCCAGTGGTGTATCTATGGGATGGATATGGGGGTCATATTCCCCCCTGAGACCAAATTTTGTACACAATACAACATGTATATAATAATACGAATGTAATATGTGCAGGTATACTGAATGTATATTAAACATTTTATTTCCCCCCCCCCTTGAAAAAATCTTAAATACGTTACTATTGGTAGGTATATACATAAAATATAATTAACCTTGTATTTCATCCAGTCATGTGCCAGGGTGGCTTCTTATCACGTATTCATAAATTTTTTAACCCTTATCAAATATGCTAACTGTGCATAATTAATGTACAGATTGTATATATCATTGTGTAAAATAAAAAAAAAACATGTGTAACAATATAATAGGAGTCTTGTATTAAATTTTCAAGCTTTTTTAAACAACAAATAAAGTTTTATTTACATTCATTGAAAAAAAAGGCTAATAAAATTGGAAACTGAAAATGTTCCTAAACAGTTCAAAACAAATCTAAATATTTTGAAAATTTTATCTTGTATAGAAAGGGCAAATATAAACAACTAGTGAAAATGTCATGTATGTTCGTTCATTTTTTTTAGAGTTACACCAAAAACCAAAATCGATGTTGTAGAAAACCGATTTTGCGTAAAAATTATCGTTTTTTCTTAATTTTTATGTTGTTTTTCCCTGCGCTTTTTAAAAATTTTGGGAATTTTAAAATTTGATTTCTCGAATACACCAACTAGATTCTCATTCCTATCGAACAAGATACTGTTGAAGAAAATCGAAGCAGTTTTACTGCCCCATACAGTGATGACAGACACAAAAAACAATTTAAAAAAAATTAAAAAAAAAAACACATCATTGTAAAATCAATACATTCATAAAAATGCCATCACAGATTTCTTATAGTCAAACCAAATTTAGATATTTGATAATAGATTTTTTTTTTATGATAATGTATAATATTATTACAAATGCTGTTAATAATTCTAAAATAATAAACATTTCTTAACAGAACACCCATATTTCAAATTTCCATTCATTTTTAATTATTTCCAAAATATTTATATGATTAATAAATTGAATAATCATTATTACTTATATTTTTAAAATATAGGGAGTTCATAAAATGTATTTTAACAAAATTACATTAACAAAAGATTTGTTAGATTTTTCAGAACAATAAGAAGTATTGGTTTTATATTTAAAATTATTTCTGTAACAAATCAAATAGAAATATTTTTAATTTTGGTCTAATTAAGTATAGTCTAAAATAAAGTATTCATAATTTATATGGGTAAGTAATTAAAATCTCAAAATAATTCAATTCTTATTTAATAATTTGAAACAAAGAAATATAATAGTTAGGTATTTATATAAATAAGAATTCATTACCAGAAAAATATAATATAGAAATAATAATATTTATATTTACCCATTAATTATAGTTGATGATTTTCTTTTAATAGTAGGTACCTAAAAACAATAAATAAACCAATTTATTGATCATATTGTTTTAAAATTAACACTGTTAAATAAATAATATATCATGGCTTTCAGAATTTCAATGTCTTAAGAATATTTATAAGAAAATATTATCTTCAAATAAAAACGTATACCTACTGAGTTTATTCTTTTGTGTAATTGCATCAGTTTATGTGCATGTGATAATCACTCAATTTACACTGATTTAATAACGCGTACACGGTATTTCACAATAATTATTATTAAGTGTTTAAGAATATAAAATCTTATCGTAATATATATTATATTTCAAATGTTATATTTGTAAATTAGATTAATATCGTTCAAATTTTATTTTTGGCATTTGATTATTAATACTACATTTAATTTTAAAATTGTGTAAAATAAATATTAAATAACTACTTGGGTATAAAATCAGTTAAGAATTCGTATCATGTAGTTATAAAAAAACGGTATCTTATTCAAATTGCAATAGAAAATGTTGTTTACGGGTTCAAAGTCTTATAAATTCAAAAATACATAAAATCTCAAATGAAAACCACTATTTAAGATACCTTTCATTAATTAAAGATCTACTATAATATTACGCTTTACGTACAGAAAATATGATATAAATAAATTGTTTCTAAAGTGGGTATAAATACTAAAATATTTTCATTTACTGTTTACTCTGTTAATCACTCTGTTTAATTTATTTTAGTTAATTTAAATTTTAGTATAATAAACTACTAATATAATATTTGTTGTTTATAGCTATTGAAAAAGTTTTACGTCGAAAAAAGATGGCCACAGCGAGATCATAAATATTGGTGTGAGAGTTGATTGGAAGATGAAAAATGCATCATAGGAATTTGGAATTTAGTCGTGTTCTATTGTTGTACAAATCAATCTATAATGAACTATCAGGACTACTCTTGACTACTTGTTTTTTCTTTTTACTGTCCTAAGTTTTTTCCCAAAATTGAGTCTGATCAATTTTACATTTTCTAAAAAATTGTAATTAATTCTCAAGACTATACAATCGAAAATCTGGTAAAGGTTTTCTTATGCAGACTCTGTGTCCTGAATCCTTTCCTATATAAATTCTTAGATAAGTTCTAATAGTATTTATAGACAATACCTTTGATGGAAGCTTTGAACCTAATACAAATAAATTCGTGTACCTAATATGTTGCGTTTGTGATAGATTGATGAATACCTACAGATATTACCGCACTCGACCTCCTTAATGGTGATTCGTCGGAGGGTAGGTATAATTGGAGTTCCTTATTGTTACTTGAAGTGTATCAACACTGAAGACAATCGTAATAATTGTTACTGAACATGCACATTGAGTTGGCACTAGGCAATTTTTTCTGATAAAATTGATAACATTTTCGCAATTGACTTGGTTCACTTTTGTCTATATTTGGGAAGTATATAATATTAATAATAACTAATAACTAATACGTATACATCCCACATTAACACTATCACTTATATAAAATAATTGATTGTTTAATTAATTTTAAAGTGGTTAGATACGTAATTGTCAGTTGAATGTGCTAATTAGACATTATAAGTAGTGTTGGGTAGTAAAGTAACGAAAGTAAATGTTACTTTGTTTGTAACGTGTTACGTAATTTCATTATAATTATTTCCAACTAACGAAAATGTAATATTACTTTTTATAAGTAATATAATATCCATAGTGTAATTCGTTACAGTTTCGACTTGTTTAATACCTTGGTTTTCACCAGAGAACGTCTTGTTAATTTGTCTTCCCAAAGCGAATTAATAAAAAAATATACCTAATATAATAATATATTATAAATTATAATATATTATTTAATTAGATTTCTCTAAATAGGTACACAGAGTACGTTTTCTATGAACATCTAGCGTAGACTGTTGTTATAAATTTTTTATATATACATATATAATTATTATTATATTATAAATAATAAGTTTTTTATACATCTTGATTGACTGACTGATTTATCATCGTCTAGCCGTAACCGCTGAAGCTATGAATATGATATTTAGTCAGTAGTTTCGTTTAATAATGTAAAGACGCACTAAGACAATATTTTCGATATGTATTATCACCTATACCCAAGAATATAGAATATAATACCGAATATATCGGTGCTGCGAACTCGGCCGGCGGGATGATGTAACTGGGCGAAAAAGAGAGGTTATTTGCGGACCGCTGATCCTATAGCTGATACTCTCCGTGATTTTAGACCTGGCGTCCCGTGTCACCACCGTAACGGAGTCATGCTGGACCATGAAACGTAAAGTCGCCGTGGGTCCTTCGCTGCTGACGTCTTTGTTCCTATAGCTACCTATTATAGTCCTATCAATCACCCTCCGTGTGTTCTGTGGTCTCCATTGCCACCGTCACTTCCTCTCCATCGTGCAGCACTGCAGTATCGTAACTACCTACTGGTACCGTCCAGGTGGCGTCGTAGCTCACTCCTGCTAGCCTCCGTCGTCTTGCAGTCGTCGCTTCCCTTACAACCAAACCTGCCGAGACACCAGAGGGTCTCATGCAGCACGTGAACCCCTCAATACCGTTGTGCCACCGCCGGGGTGGCTGGAGAACGTGCTTTGGTGACTTACCACCAAACACCCCAAGTGAATTTTCACGTACCCCTAACCCCACTTCACCGTCACCTTGACCTTGTCTACCGATGCCTTCTATCTAAGTAACGGAGGATGTCGGGTACTGGGGACGCATTCTCATCGGGAGCAACCACAGCAGAGCATCACTCACGCCCCGCTCGTTTAATTCCCCTCTACTTTGAGTTACTTCGCGTGGTTATTTAGGGTTGCCCCCAATAAAAGGTCGCCGTCCAGAACCTCGGACATGTTACTCACCTCGTCTGAGCTCTAGGTCGGGATTACATCTTCTTCAACGACTACAACATCTACTATCATATTTCGTTCTGCAATAGTTATTTTCATAAGCT